GAGAGGACTCTTTAAAGTAGAGACACTACATACTGATATACACCTGAACATCAGCAGGAGAGGACTCTTTAAAGTAGAGACACTACATACTGATATACACCTGAACATCAGCAGGAGAGGACTCTTTAAAGTAGAGACACTACATACTGATATACACCTGAACATCAGCAGGAGAGGACTCTTTAAAGTAGAGACACTACATACTGACATACATAAACTCTGGCAATATGCAGCGAAGGATAGATAAATGCTTTCTAGGGGTCTTTTAAGAACGTGTTTTTGGATATCAAACTATAGTGACCTTTGTTTGTAGTTGTAAACTGTGCTAAACTTAGTAATTCTGTCTTAGAAAGTTTTAAGAAACTGTTAGAAAATTCTCACAGGGTAACAGATATGTAATAAAAGAGGCTTGGCAATGACTAGCGTGGGAACGAGCGCTCATACCATCTCGTTCCTGCTGAAAGAAATATCTTAAGATAACAGTTTTTATCAGCCTTCTTTAAAGATACCAACAGTTTACCTCAAAGACATGAACTGCACTTGGTTCAGAAACTACCTCACTTTAATAACAGATGTTTTATTGAGTAAAATTGGCGCCCAACATCACTTCTGGCGCCGCTAAAGGACAGAAATGTTCTTTAAGGAAAGGATGCAAGTTTAACCACATGTTAAATCACTTTGAACGATATACAACTGTCAGGTTCGTCTAACTTGTGTTGTTTATCTCACAGCCTTCTGCTTGTTTTCCACAGTGAACCCATGCTGTTATTTCCCCTGTCAGCACTGGGGTGTGTGTGTGCGGTTTGGCGATGAGTACGAGTGTGACTGCACCCTCACTGGATACTACGGAGTAAACTGCACCGTCCGTAAGTCCCGAGATATCATCTGTTACAAGAAGTGTTTGACGCTCGCTAATAGAGCTACAACTAACTCATAGGAGACTCATGTCTTTAAAATGTCAGAAAACAGTGAAAAGTCCAAGGTGATGCCCTCCTATTGTCTTCGCCCCCTCCCTTACTTTGGTGTTCGCGGTCATATTTGACCGGTCCTGTTTTAACTGCTATTACATTAACACAAAAACCATTAATCATCACCACATTTCATTTAACACCCTTTCAAACTGTAGATATTGTATCAGACTCCTGGTTTACATGAAGAACTGCAGTAAATATACAAAGAACAGACACTGAGCATGTATTGCGTGTGCCAGGTGATCCACGTGGGGGAGGGGCACATAAGGGCGGGAAATGTGTCAAATTGTTCTGTGTGTGTGTGTGATTCACATGGGGGATGGGCACATAAGGGGGGGAACACATCTAGAGTGTGTGTGTGTGTGTGTGTGTGTGTGTGTGTGTGTGTGTGTGTGTGTGTGTGTGTGTGTGTGTGTGTGTGTGTGTGTGTGTGTGTGTGTGTGTGTGTGTGTGTGTGTGTGATCTGATCCGGATAGTTACTAATTCCTTTTCTTTATGGCGGGAACACCATGGGTGTTACAAAGTTGACTAAATCATCCACAATTCAATGAAAGTGGTGATCAGCCATTGTATATGTCAAATGTCTACTGTGAAGGATATCAT